TATTTCAAACTTGCAAGTTGAGTTAAAAGTTATGGTAATAAATTCATTTTTTTTTTATTAAAACTTTCACTTTAAAGAACAAAAAGAAGTAGGTTCAAAATGATTACTTTTAACATATTAAAAATCAATAATAATTTGAAAATAATTAATTATAAAAATTATATAATATATAATTAAAATAATTACTAATCTGGATATAATTAAGGAAATAGGAGTTGATGTTGGGTTGGGTTGGTTACATTTTTAACTTTATAATGCTATAACTCATTGAAAAGTGTACGAATCAACACAATTTTTTTATGAGAAATAATATTTTTTAATAATCCCTTTTTCATTCGACATACTTTATCTTAATCAGGGTATTAATAAGAAACTAGCAGATAATGTAGCTTTTGTAATTATCCACCAATTTCTTAGAATTAAACACTATCTACTGATTTGCATCGAAGCGTTTCTTATGATAGTGATTTTAATCACTGTCAGATTAAATCTATACTGGACCCAACTATGCAACATCCCCACTATGCCGCGACCCCACTGTGCTGGGTTTTTTTTGCTATAATTTTCGTTGGTTTTTGCACGGTTGTAACATAACTCTCGTCAACATTCCATACTCTATGTCCTTCGAATNATAACTCTCGTCAACATTCCATACTCTATGTCCTTCGAATTGATACTTCACATACAGACTATGTAGATTATCAAAAAAAATACCGACATTGTGTTTATTAAAGCTAATGATTCTTCCAAGACTTGTTGGTTCAGGTAAACGTAAAGATAACATGGGATGCTTTTTTAAGAAACTAGTAAACCAGTCTTTAAAAGCTTGTTTACGAGCATCCCAGTTTTTGGGATAAGCAACATCATTTGCTTTCGCATATTCATATGCCAACAACTTAACGTCCAATGGAGTAAGACCATAATAGATTCTGTTACAATGAACCCAGTAAGTAGATAAAGCAGCTTCTAAAGTTTCTGAAAATACTTGCCTAGGTTTCGCATTATCAATCAGTTTACAATTGGTTTTCAAAGGTAGATTGGATTGCTTTTAATGTATCTTTGAAGTGTCATAAAATTTATTTGGTACTTTTCTGCAGCATTTCTCACCGAATTTTCCTTTGATAACACTTCAGCTGCAGCATTTTTATATGTATCTTCAGATGTCGTACCTCGATTAATTTTATTTTTTTGTAATTTCTGACTATCTAAATGAAATAAATTTTATATATTTAATTACTTGTAAATAAAAATTTAATTTTTTTCTAATTGGGGCAAGTTGATACAGTGTAACAACTTGTCTCTAATCAATTGTAACAACTAGCCCCATACAGAAATTTTTTGTTTACATCATAATTACACAAAAGTAAATTGTTATTTTTGTAATTTCTAAATAGAAAATGAAAGAGTAATATCTAATGAAAATATATTTAATATCATAAATATCTTACCTTATGTCCTTGCTCCAGAAAAAAAAAACAAAATGTCGACTAGAATTTACGATTAAAATGGATAAACATAAAAATGTGAAATTATTTTGATATTGATAACATAAAATCTATATCATCACAAAATATTTGACTTGGAAAATCATTTCATAAAAGAATGTGGTTGGCACGGTGCTACCACAATTTAAAGATCAAAATATCTCTATTGTAACAACTTTACCTCGTAACAACTAACCCCGCTCTCCCCTATTTTATATATTTTATGCATTGTGTTTAATGAATTATGATCAATAATCATATAGATTTAAAAGAGCATTATTAATTTTGTTGTTACGGCTTATTTATATGAATTGATAGTAGAGTGGTCCTATAAATAAATTTGTAAAAATTGATCAATAAACCCCCGCATATTGTTCGAATAGTAAAACAATAAAACCTAACGAATTTGGTCATGATAAATCAACTGTAACACGTACCACAAGAGGGTTGAAAATTGAGCCTGAGGGGTTGTTTTTCGTTTTTTGAACTTAACTCAAAATCTATTAAACATACAATAAAAGTTAATACAGCTTAATTTGTAGACCTAAATATATACTATAAAAAATATTTTAATTTTTTTTTATCAAAAAGTCAATACATTTCCGTAAAAATGAAAGAAATAATCTTTTATTGGTTTTACTATGATATGTTTTTTTTTTGTCTGTTACCACTGTTTCTAGATAATATACTGACTTGTAAGGTATACTACGTCATTTGAAAATACGTTAAATAGTTAAAGTTAGTTTTTAAATCATTGTATGATGCTAAGTTAACACTTAAGTTAAATAAATGTTATTTTGGATACAGTAAGGTCTCTTATCTTAATTGTTGTATGCAGAATGAGTCAGATCTGGAGTTCAAAAGTTTATGAAAGAAGGTTGGATATTAATGAATTTCCTATTCCTGTGAACCGATATGAAGTAAGTGGTTATTAGGATTTTTAAATGTTAATTCAGTTCTTCTATTGGTCAACCCAAATACGTATACAGCTTCATTGTGATGCCAACCGTGTGGACTTAGTGACATGTTTTTATAGCATGGCATTGAAAACAAATTACATATATTTTCAAGAAAACAACACCACCAGAAAACCATTATTATTCGAGTAAACGGGAATTGATGTATTGTGCATTGTTGTACGGAGCATTAATAAAATAAGTCATTATTTAATCTGTTTTTTCTTTTTATACGTGGTAACGAATTGTTAGATAGATTTTATGATCTAAGGGATATTTATCATTTGCAAATATTTTATACTTATTATTCTCCAAATATGATAAGTACCACACTCGCAATTCATGAATTTCGAATGGAATACTGCTAGAAGTAGAGGAGTTACCATTAGTGGATGGTAAGAAAGTCAAATAAGTTTCTAAGAGAGAACTGTAGATAATCAGACTGAATAAAAAGAAGAATAAGAAGTTATACCAAGCAAAGANTAGAGGAGTTACCATTAGTGGATGGTAAGAAAGTCAAATAAGTTTCTAAGAGAGAACTGTAGATAATCAGACTGAATAAAAAGCAAAGGCCCCAACTGCCTATTAAATTTGATAGAACCAATGATCTCAAACAAGGCTTGATAAACTAATATTTATGTAATATTTATTGTGGAATACTATGACATTGTAGTATTTAGTATAGTTAACTTATTAATTTATTATCTCTTGATAATTAAATATGTTTATTAAAAATATTTTGTTAGATATTTTTTATTTTTTATTATTTGTTATTTTTTACTTATCATGTAAGAAATTATGTGTTTAAAGAAATATAATTTTTTATTTTATTCTATTCCTTTTATTTTGAGTCTTCTTGAAAATAAGACAGAATTCCTGTATTCCACCACTCTGGAATATATTCTCTTCTCTATACTTCACTAATATCTATGCAAGGAGGGAGTTTATTAAGCCTTTTCCAGCTTTTTTTAGTAGCTCTAATGGTATTTTGTTTTTACTCGGCGATTTGTTGTTTTTAAGTGTTTTTATTATTCTTTTTACTTCTTCCTGTTTAAGTTCTCCAATATCAGTTTCTAAAGTGTAGTACGCCATACCCAAGTTTGAACTACCTTGTCCTTTTCTGTTTAATAGTATATTGAATTATTTTTTAAACCAATCTACTATTTCTCCATTATCTAATAAATAAGCTATTTGAAAAAAAAATGTTTCATCATAAATAAGTGAAGTCAAATCTTATTTATAATTTAACAACTTTCTTGTAATATATATATATATATATTACAATTAGTATTATCAAATATAAATCTTTTTTAATATAATATTCCTTTTTTTTTTTGTTCAGCTTGTCCACTTGGAAAATTTGGCGAGTACTGTACTGAAAATTGTCAATGTGAAAATGGATCTCCGTGTGATCCTTATGACGGACATTGCAAATGTTTAGCTGGTTGGATTGGAAGAGACTGTTCAATAAAATGTCCACCACACAATTTTGGTATAGACTGCGCCGATGAATGTCCATGTAAAAATGGTGCTATTTGTCATCATGTTACTGGAAAATGCGACTGTCCACCCGGATTTAGAGGCCCACTGTAAGTAGTTAAGTGTAAAATAATTATACACTAAATTAACACATTTTTAAAGTAATGAGGCTGTAAATTTTTATAGTCAAAATTTTATATATTTTCCTACCTTTAATCTTATACATCTATCCTTGTTTTAAATTTTAGCTTTTAAGATTTTAGAATAAACAAATGACTTTTCTTTCGCAAATGGTAGGTGAAAATTATACTGTATACTTAATATTTAATAAAATTAATAGTATTTAAATATTAATGCATAATATATGAATATATACAGAGTAATCCTAAAATTACATCCTACAAAATATCGTCGAAAATATTAAATCTTATCATTTTTTTTTTAACTAATTAAAATAATAATGGTTTTTTGTTGTGCTGCTCCATACGAAATACCAATTTTCTGCTACTATTCCTTATTCATTATACATTACATTAAAAATATTGATCAAAAAGCGCGCAAACGTTTTCATCACCGATAACGAGCGAGATGTTTGTTTGTTCTGTGATTTACAAAAAAAATCTAATTCGTTCATTTTTCAAATAATAAATTAAAAAAAAAAAAAAGTTTAAAAAATGTTGAAATTTACTGATTTAAAACATCGTAATTTTTGGTTAGTTTTCCCCATCAACAGGAATCGAAGGCATGTTTAAGGGCAATGTCTTCAAATAGATACGATTTGTGAACTTTGTATGGTTGAAATAAATTTCAGTTGTAGCATCTAAANTTTAAGGGCAATGTCTTCAAATAGATACGATTTGTGAACTTTGTATGGTTGAAATAAATTTCAGTTGTAACATCTAAATAAATCCCCAGAATTTTAAAGAAATAATTAATATGATTTTTATTGAAATTATTATTTTTTCTATATTAATACAAAAAAGTATATAAATTTAAGTAAAATTAACAACATAAAAGATGGTAACATTAACACAAATATAATATTTTTTGTGAAATTTAAGTCGAGTCCAAAAAAATAACATGAAATCGAAAATTTTAACACAAAAATAGTATTTTTTTAACTACGGCAGACATATGCACATAATAGATAAGGTTTTGGGATAAATTTATTTTTGGATTTTATAGTATGTATTATAAGCTTTAATTCAATATATGTTTAAAACACGCAATATTTCCGGAACATTTTCAAAAGTTCAGTTGAAAAAGTTAAATTTTTGTGCAACATTTGATATTTTGAATACCTACCCCTGTTAACATAAAAAGAGTCAGTTACTTGTTTTATTTAAATTGAATGTTATGTTAGTTTTAAGAATATGTTTAAAAAATATCAATATTTTATCATTATTTTATTCTGATTTTTAAAATTACAATTCTTTGGAACTTTTTGTTAGGTTACAAAAACAGTACACTCAAAAGAATTAAGATAACATTAATTGCGATAAGCGAGGTTCGAACTTCATACCCCAAACATAAAAGGTTTTAGCGTTACTGATCGTACATAGCATATGTCGATAGATCGAAAGACAACTTTTAGCTAGTTCAAAATTTCAAAGACGTTATTTTCTATCTAAAAGAAGCAAAAAATTAAAATAGAATAACTTTGTATTCAATGCAAGTTACATTCATATAAATTTTATGCCTTATTACTATAACTACCCCTTTTAATATATTTTAAAATAAAAAAATTTCCTAGTTGGACATTTTTCAAAAAGTAATATAAATGTAATAAGTTGAAAAATTGAAATTGAAAAAAAAATGCATATAAAATTAATTTTATTATATTCAATTTTTAGGATGTTGAACCCAAAACTTTTTTTTCACAACTTTGAAAAACGTACGAATTTAAACAAAAAAAATTTTTTTTTTTATATTTTTAAAAGTTATACATGTTAAAGTTTTAATAAATATTTTCGAATTTAAAATATGGATGATTTGTTTCTTAAAAACACTTTCAAATAAGTTTTTGTACAACAATTTTTTCATAAAAATCGTATTTCTTTAACATTTTAAAACATATCCCGAGGATATATATATTTTTTTTTAAATAAAGTATTATTTATAAGCTTTAAGTAAGTTTATCTAAAGCTACTTCTCTCTGTTAGACACCAAATTTTTCAGTGAAACAAAAGACGTACAGTTCATGGGTTCCAGGATATATTCAAAATATTGTTTTCTTGGGTGTCCTCTTAGTGTTTTCCCAGTTATTTTTCCTTTGAAGATCTTGATATAAAGTTGACGCGTATCCTATATGGAGGGGTGGTAATTTTATGTATATTTTAATATACAATACAAGTAATTTTATGAATTGATTTTTAAATAATAAAAAAATAATACAAGGTAATCTGAATAACTAAAGTAGTCGACACACGTTTTATTCAGTTTGCTAACTGGTGTTTAGCCGTTTATTCAATAAAAAGAAAACCAAAGACACAATATTCACCAGTTGAACTGTATTATACGCACAAAAGAAAAAAAGAAAAACATAAATGAGACACTTGTCGTAACTCACAAAAGACGGTCAGTTGAATTGCCGGGTCGTGTGAGCACTTAAAACCGTGTAAAACCGATTCGCACACCAAAACTTTGATATATATATATTAACATGTAATCCAATAAGAGTACGGGCGCACAGGTGACGTGTAAACACAATAACGCAAATATATAGATATCATTATTAGATATTTATTTATATGTATATAATGCTAATCGTAAAGTCGCACAGGATTTATATTAAATATACAAACGTATATATAAATAACAAGTATATATATGTATCTGATACAAAGCCGCACAAGTTATATATTAAATGTACAAATGTATGTTTATACCAATAATAAATATTTATATATCTGTATACAATGCGAATCGTAAGGCTGCACAAGTTAATTACAATCGCAAGACAATGAACAACATAAAAAATAAGAAAACAGAAACCAGAACCAAAAAATCGACCAGTTAAGGTATACATCGGAAACGGAACAGAACGCAATATCCGTAATCCATACTCGGCAGCGGTCTTATCTCGGTATCAAGAGCAGGGAGACAACCGATTGTCATATTAATAGTTGGACGGTTGATATCGAGAGGGACACGGGTGAGCGCCAGCCTAGTGCGTAGGGCGGTGTCGTGTCAATATAAATGCCAGCCTGACGCAACGAGCCAAGATGAACGTCGGAACGAAACAGAATACATAATCAAGCATTACACCGTCAGCGGCGGCGGCGGCCTTGTCATGGTGTCAAGAGCGGGAAGATGCATGATGACCACAGATTATTCAATATTCAATATTGATAGGTGTATGACTGATATCGAGAGAGACACGAGTGAGCGCAATACTACAGCAATGCGCGGTGCTGTGTTAAAATCATTGTGTTGGATGTGTCCGATTAACTTTGTTTTACTTGATTCAATCACCTTCATCAGCTGTCTTCTTTACGTACTTCTTCTAGCACTTGCTCATTTCTTTTTTTGTCTATCAATTTTTTCTTTGTCATTTATCTCCATATCCATAGCTCTAATTGTCCATGTTTCACTGACATATGAAAGCACACTCCAGACAAATGTTTTATTTAATCTTTTACGTATGCAAATTCCAGATGTTTCTTGGTGAGAAGCTGATTTTTGTTTTAGAATGGTTGCTTTACCAATGCTATTCTTCTTCTGATATCTTATGTTATTGGAAGATATAATACTTCTAAGATAGCAGAATTCTCGGATCTGTTGTAATCGTGTACTGTTTATTTGTATATTAAGATTTAGATCTGAGGGAATTTTATTTATAAGCATTGTTTAGAATTTCATGAAATTTATTTTCTTTTAAAATTTATTAAATGCACTTGATAGAATTTTGAGCATATTATTTATGTCTTGTTGAGACTGCTAAGATAATGTCATCCGAAAAGTGAATACAGTGTATATGTTGTCTATATGTTATTTTTACTCCAATGGTCTTAATTTTCATTATTAATTAAGATACGTATCAGTATTTTTGGGGCATTTTCTAAATTAAGTTTAAAATGTTAACTTTATGTGCAAAAGTTGCATTTTAAAACTTCCCTGTGGTTATATTTTCACAAAAATTACATCAAATAAAGGGAAAGACCTAAGGTATTTTTAAAAAAAATGTTTTAATTTATCCATTTTTCAATAAGTTATGGTAGTTTTAAGTAAAAAAGTGCTCATCTTTTTTTATTGCTTATAGTATATACGTTAAATTAAAAAAAATATAGGTCATTTTATAATGAAGTTTTGATACAAAATATTGAAGATATTATAGGTTATATAAGCTGTCGAAATCTGGTAAGACACTCATTTTCTCAGGCACTATTAAAATTTGCAAAAACTTTGTACAATAAAACCATCTGCTTATTATTTATACTCGTATAACACCAAAAATGTATACTAGCTTTTGTGTAGTAAAAGTTATGAAAATTGAATTTTCCTTAGCAGAAACAAATGAATTACCTAAATTAATTTCATACAGGTAAAGAATAAGATGTATTCTTCGATGGATCGAAGATTACAGCTTTTTTTTTTAAATTAGCTAATACATAAGTTTGTAATTGCGTTTTAATTTATAGTATTAAATTTGAAAAAAATTCGTAGATTTACTGTAATACTCTTGAATTTTTTTATTCGATATTAGAAAGATAGAAAATATTATTTTCAAAAGTTAAATTTAGAAACCATTCAATTTAAAAAAAAAAAATTTACTGTAACGATTTTTAAAATAACTTAAAATAAAAATAAATTATACTTGTCATCAGTTAGGTGGCCGAGTAAACTAAAAGGTGTAATAATAACAAATGGACAACAGAAACATAAGTTAAAAAATGAAAAAAATTATTTTGTTTACATTTTTTATTTTGTGAAAACATTTAGAAATAATTTACATTCATATTTCAAACGAATAAAAATAAAATTTAATATGATATTTAAGTAAACACAATTTTAATAAAATTAACTCTAAATTTAGTAATTTTTATGTAATTGCTTCTTTAATTATATCTAGACAATGTTTCTAATAATTATATTTTATCGAAGACAAAAAATATTACTATTATTCTTTATTTTCTAATTTTTTTAAAATTTTTAAAAGTATAAATTATTATATTAGATTGTTATTAAGATTATAATAATAACCTAAATGCATTATCTGAAAAATGTGATTAGAAATGTTTTCTAATTTTTTAATTTTAGTCATTATAATAATAAAAAATAATCGCATTGGAAAGATAAAATTTATATTATTTTGTATTTATTAAACGTCTCTAATATATAATAATATACTTGTTTGTTGAAAATGAATATTATTTTTTTTTCTAAAGTTTGACACGGATAGCTCTAAACGTCAATAACCTTTTTAAAATACGTCTGAATAACGAATGCGACGACACTGGCCTAGAGAAAAAAAAAGAAATTTTATTTATTTAACAAAATCTATGTTTGTTCTGTTTCAATCCGAATTGGGTTGGTCCAAAACGTTTAATCAATATAGACCAACCAAAATTGTTGACCTGGTTAGCATTTTCCGAACTGATCTCTCATATTTACACATTAATATAATATCTTCTTTGATATTACCATTTGAAAAATCTCTCTACAAGAATTTACATTATAAATACTCTTCTCAAATCTATCAAAGTTTGCAAATACTAGTAAATAATTAGTAGAGTAACCACAATTTGTTTGAGATGTGCAAGTAAAAGTATGATGGTGCAATTTATGATTAAAAAAATCATAAGTTAATAAATTAGAAAACTTAAAATGTTTATAACACAAAACTCTAACATATTATTGCAAAAAACTAGGGTGTTAATGTAATTCTTATGATTTTAATCAATTTTTAGAAAATTGTATTTATTTATACATCTAAAATTATAATTTTGGTGTATTTATGAAATTTTTTGAAATTTGTTTCAAATACGTACTACGTATTTGAAACGTCATAAAACAGTAGATTTAATCATTATCAGATATCAATCAATACTAATCTAAAAAAAATTCAACTCCATTTTCCTAAATTTCTACTGTACTTTACCTTGCATATACACTAAGATGTTAACTAAAATTAAAAAAAATTTAGATGTGAACAGAGATGTCCATCTGGTCGACATGGGGATGAATGTCAAAGTGAATGCAAGTGTCAAAATGGAGGTAGTTGCGACCATCAGACAGGACAATGCTTATGTTCTTCAGGGTGGACAGTAAGTTATAGAAATCATTATAATATACCAATGTTGATAAATTAAAAATGTGTATATTATACAAATGAATAAAACACTAAAAACAAACAAAATTCATACGGGAACTAATGTTAACTGGCAAATTACGTCAAAATGATTGGGATGGGCGCCATGTTTTTTTAGAGCTAATAATGTTACAAATTGGGTTTAAATCATAATTTGCATTTGTATTATTTAAGTGTTTAATTATTGTAGCTACATGTACTATTGAAATGAAAGCCTTTTTAAAATTTTATGAAGTATTTACAGAGCCATTATTTAACCATTAATCATCTTGAACATTTGATGCTTGCTTAGTTTCTGTAGATACCAGTTCATATTATCATATCAATTCACTGTTTATTTTTATCAGATTTTATGTGTATAAACACTTCTATTAGGGTAGCCCTTGGTTTTAAATATTTAATTTTTTGTTGTTAGGCACTCCTAATATTTTTATTACCATAAAAAATAAATTGAAAAAAAGTCGGTCAATATTACTCGAACTCTTCCTATGCCACAAATAGGGTAGTTTTTTAATTTTTATTCAAAAAAATATAAGACTTATCGCATAAATGTACTGAACCATTTTATTACAAGAAAAATTATATTCTATAAAAAGTATAATTATTACAATTTTTATTAATCTGTTATTATTCAAAATAAATAGTAAAACTTAACTTTATTCTATTGTTCTAAAAATAGATTTTTTTTGTGACAATTAATTAATTTTAGTCTTCATTTATATATTTAAATGATTATATTTTTATTCCTAAATACTTTTATTATCAAACGGTGTACACAAAGCTTTTTTCGTAGTTTTTTGTATTTTTGAATAACCTTAAATATATGTTTAATATAAATTAATTAAATAGAAAATAATAATAGACATTTGAAGATAAAAGTTTTGTAATTTACTTGAAGTAGTAATTGTTTCTGATTTTCTCAACGATATGTTTTAATACTAATAAATACTTTCTGAATAATAATTCTACCAGTCTCAGTACTTCTTGCTTGCGGTCTTCAGCTCCAATTTTAGTTTTCACTGTGTTTCTGTTTTGATAAGCTGAAATGGTACTTACGAATACATGGTCTTCTCACTTATGACTTTCTGGATATTTGAGATGTATTTTTTGCTTTAAATAAGCCAACTATTTGCCACTTGATAGATTCTGGTACAGGTTTCCTACTCATTATTGCTAATACAAATGAATACTATTGCAAAGAATAGTTATAAAATATGTGTTTTGATGTGATTTTTACCGAGGATATTGAAAAAGTTAAATTATTTAATAGTAAAACTACAAAAAAAAAAAAAAAAAGAGCTTTTATTGTGCTTAAAAATTCTAATTTTTTGCCTATGGTTTGAATATTTTAACTGGATCGAATTGACAATTTTTATTATCAAACTTGATTATCAAAATAACATGTAGAAAAAAAATTATAAATTTGGATAGTAGTACATTTTTAACGAAAATATAAGTAAAAATTCAGTTGCCAATGGAACCAATGCAAAATAATCTGTCTTTAAGGTTTAACACATGTTATGAACACATTATATAAAGAAAGAAGTTTCATGCATTTACTTGATGATTTAAACGTTTACGACGGCATACTAGCCCAAAATCTAATGCATGAAATATAAAATTTGGGGGTGTCTTATAATTTTGATCACTTCTGTAATTTGATCAAATTTTTCACAACTTAATTTTTTATTAACTTCACTGTACAAAGTAATATACCGATGGTTCATTTAAATCTCTCGATTACTCGCTAAATAAATACATTAATTTGAAGAAAAAAAAATTTTTTTTTAGTAATGTATATTTTTTAATTTATCATCTATAAATTTCTTGTTAGAATTACCCTTTATAACTTACAGGGGTGTAAATTTTTTCAAATAACAACGTACATAATTTAATAGATAATGATGTAATTAAGAAAATGACTGATGAATAATAACTTTTGGACTAGTTCTACGGAAGTCATTCTCATTTTTACACCTAGACAAAAGAAAGAGTACGGACGGGATGATCATTGATTAATGATAAAAATAGCTGCACCCACATCACATCTCCAGTCAAAACTTTAAATAATTAATAACTCCTGAAATACTGATCCAAAAGTTGTTATCAACCAGTTATTTCTAATTACTTCATTTTATAAATATATGTTATTAAATTATATACGTTGTCATTTGAAGAAATCAAGTTGATGCCTATATAAGTTATAATGTGTTACGAGGCTATTTAGGGGTTGGGCCTAAATGCTTGTTAATAGTATTCTAAGTAATCAACGGAGGACAACTGGCTAGGCTTTATCTACCTTAGATACTAAGATTTCCTATTTAATTCATATACCTTTAGAACTACCAAGGATCGCACTACATTAATATATAACTCTTGATTTTGCAACCATATAATAGCTTATTAAGTAAGCTAAGTATATAAACAATACAACCTTCTGAACACCTAGAAATGATATTAATCCAACAGAGATCTGACGGTGACATACTATACTGATGGTAGCTAATTTAAATTAATGTCTTAGACAATAAGAGTAATAGTCGTGATATTTTTAAAAAGTCAACTAGCGTTTGGGACATTCGTATTATGGCACGATAGCTTTGAATCCCAAAAGTATTATTATTTATTAGTTAAATTAATATTCTTAAATTTTTAAATAAATTACTTTGAATAATAAAAATTCTTGTTTGCTACACTGATAGTATCACAGAACATTAATTGCAACTTAATACTTAAGCACTAGAGTGTCATTGTGGAAATTAGACTTTATAAAACCCTGACTGACTATAATAATATTGCTTGAAACGTTTACGGATGTATCTACGTTTTCAGATATGAGCTGACGTTTCGGACTCGTTGCAGATTACATCTTTAAAACGATAGTTACAGGTTTTTATTTTTGTTGTTGTTTACGGCATTCTTGGAATTTCGCTGTTCCTTTTTTTACACCGGCAATTTTTTGTTATACTTATTATAGTTTTTACACACATAAAGTGATTTTCTTTTTGCCTGGTGTGTGATAGGTAACCAAGTCTTGCTTATAGACTTCCATCTCTGTTGTAATTTTCTGGATATTGTTCGTTTTCTATTACTTCTTTATACATCCGTTTGCCAAAAATGAGCTTCTTTGTTCATTGTTTTGACTTTGTCAAATTGCATTTCGTGTCCACTGTTTTTAGCGTGTTCAGCTACTACGGATTTTTCTGTTCTTCTATAATCTACGTCTTTTTCGTGTTCTTTTATTTTTTTTGCAATAACTGTTCCTGTTTGTCCAATGAATGATTTACTATATGAACACGGTATTCCATAGACTTCTGGTGTTTACATTTCTGGCAGTTTCCGAATGTCCAGAAAATTAAAATAGAGAATATGGATGGTCTATTAGCAAGACTTGGATACCTATCATACACCAGGCAAAAATAAAATCACTTGATAAAACTATAATTAATTAACAGAAAATTGCCGGTGTAAAAAAGGAACAGCGAAATTCCAACAAAACAACATAAAAAACCAGATGTAAACAACAAACTGATAGTTGTCCACAACAACACAACAAAAATAACAATAGATAAATTGAGAACAATGATGTTATCAGTTATTAACTGATAAAAAAATATACCGTAAACAAGTTTAGCCGACAGTATAGTTACAACCACCTGTAACTATCGTTTTAAAGATAGAATCTGAGAAGAGTCTGAATCGTCAGCTCATAACTGAAAACGTACATACATCCGTAAACGTTTCAAGCAATACGACAATCCACGAAAGCTTCAACACATTCATATAATAATATTAATTTAAATTATAACGCATTAGAGTATATTATAGAATGATGGACAAACTTTTTCAAGTCGTTCTTCACAAAATTTGTTTGAAAATAACTTTATTGATTGTTATAGGGATTGGTTTGTGGTGAAAAATGTGAATCTGGAAAATGGGGAGTAAATTGTAGTAAAACTTGTGATTGTTTTAATGAAGGTATCTGTCATCATATTACTGGTCAATGTCAGTGCCTACCCGGATATTATGGTGAAAAAGTAACATTGAAAGGATTATAAATTAAAATTATTATTGCTATTGTATATTTTTTTTTTCAATATTTTCAGTGCAAAGAAATATGTCCTGAAGGTTTATATGGTCCCAACTGCAAACAAAATTGTTCTTGCAAAGGAAATTCAAACTGCAATCCAAAAACTGGCAAATGCATTTGCCAAAAAGGATGGTCAGGAGAAAATTGTACGCAGAGAATGTGCCCAGATGGTTTATATGGTGAAAGGTGTGACAAAGTATGTGAATGTGTTTACGAAAATACAAATATGTAAGTAATTTATACAGAAAAACTAATACTCTATGATAAAATTTATTCCTACAGACTTCAAACTTAAATTTTATATTACTAAAAATCTATGTAGTTTACAGATTCTATTTTAACTAATTCATTTAAAAGAAATTTTAAAGAACATTACCAAACAAAAAATTTTAGTTTAAATTTCACAATGTATTATACTAGTCAAACATTTATTTAAATTTAAAATCAAAACAGGACATGAAATTTGTATATTTAATATTAAAATTAAAAAACTAATTAAAATCGAAAAAAAATTTAATTAATATTCAAAATCAAAATGCGTCTTTTTCTTAATCTGTCTAAACTATTTTGAGTCGGCCATCCTTATCCTAAACTTCCATTTGACACGATCTCCCACATCCTCTACGCTCACATCAGCTGTCCTCATATCGCATTCAATAACATCCCTTCTACTCTTTTAGCTTCGATGCGAAGCTGAGAAGGTATTGGTTTTACTAAGATGTGTTTTTTTTTTGTGTCTCTTACCACTTTTTCTCAGCTCTCACCGAACCGATTTCTTTCAACGATACGTCTAAAGATCACAAATCGTATCTAGTCGAAGACATTACCCTCAAAAATTGAAAAAATTTCTCTCGTTCCATGTAAATGGGGGAAACCTCCAAAAAAATTACAAATCGGAAATGATCCGATTTAAAAAAAAAGTATGTCGAATGAAAGATCTATATAAATACTACTTCTCATAAAAAAATTGTAATGATCCATACATTTTTCAAAAAGTTATAGCATAATAAAGTTAAAAATTTAAAATACAAAATCGAAAATTTTCACACAAAAATAGCATTCGGTAGCCATTTTCACCCTGAAGATAAAATAAAGTCCGATATTTTTTTTTTTCATAATAAAGTATATTATATTAACTTTAATTTAAGAAATATATAAAAGTGTCAGACCTTCCGGAACACTTTCAAAAGTTACGTTGAAAAAGTTAATTTTTTGTAAAAAAGTTGTCGTTTTAAATCCCCCCTGTAGGCAGGTAAAAAGTCAGATTTATAAAAAAAATATACCAAATGATAGGTAAAGACATCATGCATCTACAAAAAAAAGAATTATATTGATCCATACATCTTTCGAGAAGTTATAGCATTATAAAGTTAAAAATATAAAAAAGAATTTTTTTACAAAAATCGTATTTTTTTTATTAAGTTTAATGTCTGTTTTCACCATGAAGATAAAATAAAGTCCGAAATTTTTTTTTACCATTATAAAGTATATTACATTAGCTTTAATTTAAGATATATATAAAAGTGTCAGACCTTCCGGAACACTTTCAAAAGTTAAGTTGAAAAAATTAATTTTTTGTAAAAAAGTTGTCGTTTTAAATCCCCCCTGTAGGCAGGTAAAAAGTCAGATTTATAAAAAAAATATACCAAATGATAGGTAATGATATTATACATCTATATAAAAAAGAATTATATTGATATGTTCATCTTTCGAGAAGTTATAGCATTATAAAGTTAAAAATATAAAAAAGAATTTTTTTACAAAAATCGTATTTTTTTTATTAAGTTTAATGTCTGTTTTCACCATGAAGATAAAATAAAGTCCGAAATTTTTTTTTACCATTATAAAGTATATTACATTAGCTTTAATTTAAGATATATATAAAAGTGTCAGACCTTCCGGAACACTTTCAAAAGTTACGTTGAAAAAGTTCTACTTTCTATATGCATTTTTATGTTTTGAATCCCCCCTGTATTTAGGGAAATGGTCCGATTTAAAAAAACAGTATGTCGAATGAAAGATCTATATAAATACTACTTCTCATAAAAAAATTGTAATGATTCATACATTTTTCAAAAAGTTATAGCATAATAAAGTTAAAAATGGAAAATACAAAATCGAAAATTTTCACACAAAAATAGCATTCGGTAGCCATTTTCACCATGAAGATAAGATAAAGTCCGAAATTTTTTTTTTTCATGATAAAGCATATTACATTAGCTTTAATTTAAGATATATATAAAAGTGTCAGACCTTCCGGAACATTTTCAAAATTTAAGTTAAAAAAATTAATTTTTTGTGAAAAAGTTGTCATTTTAAATCCCCCCTTGTGGGCAGGTTAAGGGTTAAATTTATGAAAAAAATATACCAAATGAAAGGTAATGATATTATGCATCTATATAAAAAAGAATTATATTGATATGTTTATTTTTGAAAAAGTTATGGCACTTTTAAGTAAAAAAAATTGAAAAAATTTCGAAAATTAGCGATTTTTAAATTTGTAATTTTTTTGGAGGTTTCCCCCATTTACGGGGAACGAGGGAAATTTTTTCAATTTTTGAGGGTAATGTCTTCGACTAGATACGATTTGTGATCTTTTGACGTATCATTGAAAGAAATCGGTTCGGTGAGAGCTGAGAAAAAGTGGTAACAGACACAAAAAAAAAACACATCTTAGTAAAACCAATACCTTCTCAGCTTCGCATCGAAGCTAAAATCGCTAATTTTCGAAATTTTTTCAAGTTTTTTTTTCTTAAAACTGTCATAACTTTTTCAAAAATGAACAAATCAATATAATTTTTTCTTTATAGATGCTTGATGTATTTACCTATTATTTGGTATATTTTTTTTTATAAATTTAACCCTTTACCAGCGCACAAGGGGGGATTCAAAATGACAACTTTTTCACAATAAAATAAATTTTTTAACTTAACTTTTGAAAGTGTTCCGGAAATACTGACACTTTTATATATATCTTAAATTAAAGCTAATATAATATACTTTATTATGGAAAAAAAAAATTTCGGACTTTATTTTGTCTTCACGATGAAAATAGCTACCGTATGCTATTTTTGTGTTAAAATTTTCGATTTTATATTTTACATTTTTAACTTTAAAATGTTATAACTTTTTGAAAAATGTATGGATCAATACAATTTTTTTATATGAAATAATATTTATATACCTCTTTCATTCGACATACTTTTTTTTTAAATCGGACCATTTCCCTTAATACTGGGGGGGTTCAAAACATAAAAATGCATATAGAAAATAGAACTTTTTCAACTTAATTTTTGAAAGTGTTCCGAAAATACTGACACTTTTATATATATCTTAAATTAAAGCTTATGTAATATACTTTAATATTGAAAAAAAAAATTCAGACTTTATTTTGTCTTCATGGTGAAAATAGCTATCGTATTAAAAAATATGCTATTTTTGTGTTAAAATTCTTGGTTTTGTATTTTATTTTATTATAATGGGATTACACTGATTTTCATAAATATTATATCAATCTAATTGACATAGTATAAAAAGTTAAACATATTTAAATTATTTTCTTTCTTTGAAGTTAAGAAAAATCACTTTAAAATTTGAACTAGCTAAATTTCCATTTTTATTAAGTGACGAATGCGAGGTACGATTTCTGAGACGGTAACACTACGTCACTGAATTTTTTCTTAATTCTTCTTGAGTTAGAAAAAAATGTTAAACTCATTTAGATTTAATAACTTCAATAAATAACATGGATACCATTACTGTAGTCTCCTCTCGTGAGAAAAAATTCATATTAATATTATTTTACTACGTGGTTTTTTTTTGTAGCTATTATTTATTTTCTCAGCTCTCACTTGACCTACTTTTTTGACAAATTTTTTTTTTAAATTAAACACTATCTACAGATTTGCATCGAAACGTTTCTTATGATAGTGATTTTAATCACTGTCAGATATCATTTATACTGGACCCAACTATGCCACGTCATCACTGTGCTGGGTTTTTTTTTTTTTTGGTCTTCCTTTACCTCTTTTTCCTTTAACATTCAATTTTATAACTGTTCTTACAGTTTCCGATTCCTTTTTCCACATAACATGACCAAACCATCTAAGTCTATTTTCTTTCATCTTATCCACGATTGACGCTACACCTATACTCCCTCTTATATGCTCATTTCTTATCCTATCTTCTGTAGTCACTACACTCATCCATCTAAGTATTCTCATCTCTGCTCTACTTTCTCGTCAACTGCCCAACACTTTGAACTATACAACATAGCTGATCTCACTAAAGTCTTATATAATTTACCTTTCAGCCTCAATGGAATTATTTTATCGCATAACACACCAGACACTTCTCTCCACTTAAACCGCACTTAATCCTATGTTTTACATCCTTGTCAATACCACCGCTCTTTTGCACAACTAATCCTAAGTAATGCTTATTAATAATATAATAAATAACTTTATACATTATCAAAAGTAAATTTTATAAAGTATTAATTTTTTTTGAAAAAGTAACTTTAAATTACATATAAAGCAAAAGGTACACGCATTAAGATTGTTTTACTACAATATTTTGTTATTAATTTTCACTGTAATTTATTCATTTTTATTGCATAAAATGTTAAGCCTTAATTTAAAATTTATCTAATAGTTTTACATCTTAATTACTTATTACTTAATAGTGACCAATCTTTTTCAAACACTTAATTATGTGTAAAAAAATATTAAGAAGCATTCCAATATTGTAAATACATTATTTCCTCGACTTAGAAAATAAAATAAAAAATATATAATTTTAGTTATTAAACGTTCTAGTGCAGTTTTATTAGAAAATTTTAACAGGTTTGATTAAATAATAAAAGACGAAATAAACTTGTGAAATTAAAAAAATATCACTTTATCCATGGGTTTTTCCGGTTTATATCGTTATATAATCTTTTTAAATAAAAATTAACCACATCATAAAAACTTAATTAATTTTTGATAAAAAATATTGGGTTACGCTAAAGTGAAATTTCTTCACAACTTTATGCTCAAAGTTAAGGGATGCTAAATTTACAGAAAATTGTATAACCCCTAAATTTGTAGGAGAATTTCGTCAGAAATACTTTAATAATGTCATTTACCTGTTATTTTTTAGCTAATGGCTGTACTAGGATATCTTTACTCGCTAAAAATATGATAAATTAATCAATTATTGTAAACTATATAAAATTAATATTAGATGTCATCCATGGACTGGCGTCTGTGAATGTGCTGCTGGTTGGGATGGACCAACATGTTCAAGAACTTGCCCATTGTATACTTTTGGTGAAGGATGTCATAGAAAATGTTTATGTAATAATAATGCTGAGTGTATACCCAGTAATGGAACATGTGTATGTCGACCTGGTATGATAATTTCTTTTTTTTTTTGTTGTAATTAGATTATAATATTTCTGTCATATTAATAAATCAAAATTAAAAAATTAATGATTTGTGGCAAACTCTAATATACATGACAGATTAAAAACATTAGATGTTATTCAATCAAGTGGTCTAACAAATAATAGTTATAATGAATATTATTTCTATACTTAAAATAATAGAATAATTTATGTTCATATTTAATATTGCTCAGGAATCGAAAATTACTATTCAATTTTATTTTTTAAAACAGTTGCGTAAAATTAATTTTCATGTTAAAATCATGGATGTTTTAAAAATATATTATATATATTTTCAAATATTGTAATCAATTTTTTTAAATAAATACTTACTTTACTATAAATAATATGGTTACTACACTCCTTAAATATTTGTTAACATTTTATTTTAATTAAAAATTTACAGTATACATTTTTTCTCAAATACTCATTATTTAAAAGATTTTTATTAACAAACTTGTCTATGATCATACATAGATAATATTATCATTGTATATTATACAATAATGGGTTCGCCAACAATATATTTTTTAATATCGATATCGTACTGAATTTCAGCAATATTGTAAAAAAAATTGTTCCCGATATCGTGATATATCGATATTGTATAAAAAATAAATCTATATCGAAAAAAATATTACCCTACTATTGAATATTTATATTATATAAATATATTCAATAATTAAATTTAATATTTAAATGTTTTCACCATATTTTTTTTATTCTCGAGAATACTATTAGGTTGCCATTTTTGTAAAAACCAGACTATGGTATACCAACCAAATCAGATAATGATATTTATATAAAAAATATATAGACAATAGCTAATCTCATAACGATAATCAAATATTTTCAAATTATTTTTTATTTTGAAGAAATAAGTTTTTTTTGTTTTAAGACTTTATCATTATATATTGGTTATATTAAATGGAATTCTTTATTGAATAATAGTATTATAGTTTCAGTGTTTGGGTTCTAAATAATAATAATAATAAAGAGATTATAAGTAATGTATATATTTTTTTTTATTGCTCTATCATCATAAATGTAAATATTTTTTCTTTTTTATAAAAATAATATTTAATAAAAAGATAATCTAATAAAATTTTAACTTTTATAGAATAAAGCTTCATCATCATTTGATAGATTTTTTTTTTTGGCTCAATAATTTCATTTTACTTTTCAGATTGAGTTTCAACCAGTTGTTGCTGTATATCTTCTAATTCTGAAATTTTTTTTCTCTAATTCTCCTTAGACATTACTTTGTTCGTGTTATGTTAAAAATAGGAATAACAATAATTTTATAATAAAAAAACATCATATTTCGTCTTATCTCAATTCTATATTTCATAAAATAATATATTTCAATATAAAAAATATAAACAAGATTATCACGAACTGTTTTTGGAATAATACCAAATAATATATATTTTATAACAAAATGACTAAAATTCAAACAGTTTTTTTTATTAAAAATTTTTTTTCGATTATTGCGATTTTCAAAACTAATTGATATATTGGGAAAAATGAAAAAAGTCGGCGATATTGAATCAAAATATCGATATCGTTGACGAACCCTAATATTTAGTTATACAAATATACTTGTACTAACATCTTTTATTTTTTTGTAATATATGATGGGGTACATTCAAATACATACTGTTGTTTTTAATATCAAAGAACACATTAAATTGTTAAATAGAAAATGCGTCTTTATTACGAAACAATATAAGATTTTGTTTATAATTTATCGTTCCTAACCAGATAAGAAATTTATTCGTATAGACATATTTTTACATAGTATATGATTTGTTGTTGTTATGTATAGTCACATGGAGAAAGACGCTGAATAGGTTTTTTAGTTTTAAAAGTAGATTTTATTAAAGTAGTATTACTGAGCGGTTGGGTTGTTATCTATTCGAATATTTTTATCTACAAGAGGTAACGAGCCAACTGTTTTGTTAAATTAATAAATTTGGTCCGCGTGTTTTGTCAATGTGGAACTTTGATCTAATGTAACTTAGTGTGTTTTGTGACTTATGTTTTCAATGATAGTAGCTTTATGCCAGTTTTCTCGTTTATTTCTATAATATTCTATACAATCACTCTTTCACGTTTAATTTTCTATTTCACCCATATTTTATCTGAGAAATTTAACTATCCACTACTTATCANCGATACGTCAAAAGATCACAAATCGTATCTAGTCGAAGACATTACCCTTAAAAATTGAAAAAAATTCCCTCGTTCCCTGTAAATGAGGGAAAGCTCCAAAATAATTACAAATTTAAAAATCGCTAATTTTCGAAATTTTTTCAATTTTTTTTACTAAAATATACGATAACTTTTTCAAAAATGTACATATCAATATAATTTTTTTTTTAATAAATGTTTGATGTCTTTACCTATCATTTGGTATATTTTTTTTGTAAATTTAACACTTTATCTGCCCACAGGGGGGGATTTAAAATGACAACTTTTTCACAAAAAATTTACTTTTTCAACATAACTTTTGAAAATGTTCCGGAAGGTCTGACACTTTTATATATATCTTAAATTAAAGCTAATGTAATGTACTTTAATTTGAAAAAAAAAAATTTGACCTCTGGACTTGTCTTCATGGTGAAAACGGCTACCGAATGCTATTTTTGTGTGAAAATTTTCGATTTTATAATTTATATTTTTTACTTTAAAGTGCAATAACTTTTTAAAAAATGTATGGATCAATACAATTTTTTCATGAGAAGTAGTATTTATATACATCTTTCATTGGATATACTT